AAAATATTTAATAAAAGCTACAAAAAATAAAATTTTGAAAACGAAAATTTTTTTAACTATGAGCCATTAAAATTCGTTTGAATTTACAACGCTCAAGCGTAACTGATAACTGAATCGTCACTTTTTCCTTTTTAAAAAGTCTTTCTCTTATTTTTTTTCTGATTTCTTTTCCTTCACTTCCAATCTTTCTTTCATTTGCTGCTACTCACGTCACAGTTTTACGTTCGCTCAGAAAAACCCGTATAAGAGATAAGTTAATAACAGTGAGTTGGAATTTACTGCCAATTATCTTCCCTGCAGATATATATATATACACGAAAAGTGAAAATAACACTTATGTTATTTCCATCTAATCTTCAATTGACAAAAATAACAAAAAATATTTAAAAAAAAGAAAAACTTTTCAAAAAAAAAAATGTAAAATTCAAAAAATTAAATTTTCAATTTTAAATACTCAATTCCGAATAATAATTTAAACAAATATTTTTCGAAATTTGTTCACCGATGCAAAATACCGTTATAAAACTAAGGTGTCTTTTTTTTCTCAGTTCGTTTCCTCGGGAAGGTCACGAGGACGAATGTAGTCGTCGAACCTGATCGAGAGGTCGAACCTCTTAACAGTGCGTGTTAAAGGACGATCGCTCGGCCGTTAAAAGCAAAGAAGCAAGGTGTAGTTACCCAATCAGAGCGAGGAGGAAACAAAAGAAAGGTGAAAAGAGAGACTTATCGCCTCATGGAGATTGAACCTTACATCCTGCATCCTGGTTAAATTATAAAGAAGAAGAAGAAAAAAAAGGAATAAATAAAAAAAAACAAGCGTGAACGAAAGAGAAGCAAAAAAAAAAAAGAACAGAGCCGCTCGAAAACAGTAATTATTATTGGGCGATTGTTTGCGGGTGTAAAGAGATATAAAAAATGATTCTTCATCTTCTTCATTACTCTCCCCTTAAAGAACACGAAAAAGTCTTAACGAACCTGTATTTAAAAAAAAAATATTAAAAAAAAAAAAAAAAAAAAAAAAAAATAAAAAAAAATAAAAAAAAAAAAAAAAAAAAAAAAATAAAAAAAAAATAAAAAAAAATAGGTAAATAAGAATAAAATAGAAAATAAATAAAAAAAAAAAGTAAAAAAATAATTATATAAAGAAGTCAAAATAAATTTTATTCCATGGCACGAAAAATCGAATGGATTTATGAGTCACTGGGTCACGTTCTGCATTCACGTTTTATTGTTTTAGGTCAAAGTGTTTTTTTTTCTCTCAATCACGTATGACAATAATTTATTCGATAATTTCGTTTGGTATACATATTACCATTTGGCGAAATCATAAAAATTTTTTGCGCCAAAAGAATTTAAAAAAAAAAATTATTGGACAAAAAAAAAATTATATCGAAATGAATATTTTGGAAATACTGATAATAATGGAAATAAGCAATAATATAAGAGAATATATAAATTTGGTTTTTTTTTCTCAGGCAGGTTTGCGTGCCAGGAAGTCGAGGTCGATTAGTAATGCGATTAGAAGTGACACGAAGATATATAATTGGTCACTCTTTGCTTCTAAAACTGGACCGCCAATGACCAGGGGCGAGTTACAACGGAATATCTCAGTAAATGATCTCTCTCTTTGAGAAACGGTACTGTGCTTGGTTCACCGCATTTGACCCTTTGCTCCCTTCCGTCAACATTCCTGAATCATACCACTACCGTTTCGTGGGTTCGAAAAAAAAAAACCAACACACCTCTAAATGATCCTCTTTTGCATTTTAATTTTTCAAAAATCTAGTTCAAAAACCTCAAATTAAGTTAAGTGCCTCTCTATTTGCAGAAGTTTGTTATAATAAAAACGTTTCTCCTGGTTAGAAAATCCTTTCTAAAACAAAAATTAATACAAATAAAAATTATTTGAAAACACAAAAATTATTTCATATTAAAAAATTATTTCATACTAATAAAAATTATTTGATATAAATAAATATTTATTTCATACTAGTCAGGTAACCGATTATTTGAATCAATTAAATTTTTTTTTTCAGTGTATTTCTCGAATTAATTTTTATTTATTTGATAAAAAAATTCTTTCAATGAATTGAATATTTTAAGAGTTGAGTTAAATTGCAATTTATATAGTTTCTTCCCTCCTACACCTTTCACCCTTTCAGCAATTGAAAATCGTATAGCTGCAATCATCTCGAGGCCATTCAGGGAAAGTCCGCGAGTTTTGATCGTAAATCAAATTGTAACGAGAGCGCGCTATCATTAGCAATGATAATGTCATGGTAATGCGTGCGCCATTCGTAAATTCAATCATAAATAAAATCACATTTATAATTAACAAAACTAATTCCCAATTACTATTTAAATAAAAATAAAAATTTTTTTTCACTCATTTTTCGAAAAAAAAAGAAATAAAATCATTAGAAAATAAATTAAGAAATTTAAACGTTGGATAAAGAGAAACAAAATTATCAATAGAATTACTATAATGAATCAATAAAATAAAAAAAAAAAAAACGTGGATGATTTAGAAAAAAGGAACTGTCAATAAAATTTTCTCTAAACGAAACAAATGGTTACTTAATCGCAATAAAATGCAAGTCACTTTAGGATCAATAAAAATGCAATAAAGAAATTTCTTTATTGTGACGAAAATCATCATTGAAAGCTATAATCTAAGAATTTCCAAATAGAGATCATATGGACAAAGGAGAATCGAGTACAAAAAAAAATTTCCAAATTATATTATTAACAAAAGAGATAGTTTTCCATATATAAATACGAATCGAAAAAAATATATATTACGTCGATCTATTAGACTTCAGGAATAGAAAAGAAGAAGAAGAAGAAGAAGAAGAAGAGAGACTTGAAGAATATATGTAGTAAAAAAAAAGAAGAAGAGAGGGTGTACTTATACGAACGATCTCTAATTCAATTGATCGATCGATGAGATAAAACGAGATATGTATATATAAAGAATCTTGAACGCAGTTTCAGTAACTAGAGAGTTGCTTCATCTTTACTATATTATAGTCATGGTCATTTACTATTCAATTATATCGCAATTATAGGACCTCAATATTGCCCTGAGCTTAAAAACCAACGATCTAATTTTTAATGCCAAAGATCGATCCCCTCTAGTTTGCTTATCAAAACGATTTATACAAGACTATTTAAATTTTGACAAAAATAAATCGCTTTCTGATACTTTATGATTTTCTCTCTCGGTTTTTTTTTTTTCGTTTATGGATTAAACTCTGCGATTAAGCCTCCAGATTACTCCATTTATCGTTCCCCTTTCAGATTATCAATTTACTTTTTCCCCTACTCCTCTTAAATTTAAATTTCTGCATTTATTCTCCCAACAATTTCAAATTTTCATTCAGATAAAAGTAAATTCAATATTTTGTATTTTCAATTTTTGATTAAAAAAAAAATACAAATTTAAAAATAAAATTAGTAAATTAATTAAAACGTGGAGAAAATGTTAATAAAAATTTTGCAATAGTAAATTGATCGAATTAAAAAAAAAAAGTTTAAACAGAATTAGTCAATATTCAATTAATTAAAATATGGAGAAAACGTTAATAAAAATTTTGCAATTGTAAATTGACCTGTTTAAAAAAAAAAAAGGATTACACTATAATTTAGTTCGCGGCATGAATCTGGAATATTGAACATTATTTTGATTTCAATCTCATTGAAAAATTGCTTTTGATAAAAAGAAGTTTCACTTATGGCAAAAGAGAAAAGCAGATTGAAATTGAATATTGGAGCCTTCCATTCTGGTAGTCCATATTCAATTATTTTATCAGCAATCGATTCATAAAAATCAATTCGAATTTTTGAACCATGACTTCTCACGATTGATTTCATCGCAAAAATCCTTTGCAACGCATACATTTATAAATTCGAAACAATTTGCATTATATTAAATTGCACACATTTGTACTTGGTAGGAAATTACGAATAAAAAAATTTGCCAAATTATTTTTATATTGTCGAATTTAAGAAAATAAAATTTTAATTTTGATGTTTTATGTAAATTAAAATTATTTGTTTCATTTTTCTTATTTTAATTTCATTGAATTTCCATCTAATAATTTTCTTTTTTCATATTATTTTTTATTTACAGAAATTTTTATTCAAATGAATTTTCATTTAACTAAAGTTCTAATTCGATGATTTTTTATTTAGCAGGCTTTTTTGTTTATGTGGAATTTTTAATTAGGAGATTCTTAATTCAACAGAATTTTTAGTTTACAAAATTTGGCTTAAATTTCTAAAGCCGAATTTCTATTTAACAAAATTTAGTTTAATTTTCTAAAGTAGAATATTTATTCAATAGAATTTTTTTAATTCATCTATTTTTATAGTAGATCCTGTAGTTTTCAATTCCCAGTATTTTTATTTAGCTAATTTTTCATTTAGCAGAATATTTATTTAGATTAATAAAGTTTTATTAAAAAGAAATTCTCTTAAATTGAGAAATACAGTTAAATATAAAAATTCTTTAAATTAAAATTTGCCAAAATAAAAATTCTATTAAATAAAAATTCTGCTAAATGAAAATTCTATTAAATAAAAATTCTGCTAAATGAAAATTCTATTAAATAAAAATTCTGCTAAATGAAAATTCAGCTAAATAAAAATTCAGCTAAATAAAAATTCTGCTAAATGAAAATTCATCTAAATAAAAAATTTGGTTAAATATAAATTTTACTAGTAAAAATTTGGATAAATTCAAATTCTTAAAAAAAAAATTATTAAATTAAAAATTCGCCTAAAATAGAGATTTGAAATAATTTCTAAATTTTTTTTAACCAAGTCTATTATAAATACAAATTCTGTTAAATAATTGTATTAAAGAAAAATTTCCATTAAATGTAAATTAAAGCAAAATTTGATTAAATAAAATTTTAGTTTTTTCAATGAATTTAAAATTTGTTTTCAAAAAAAAAAAAAAAAAAAAAATGTGGTTTAATAAAATTTTTTGTACTCACCCATGAACAGCGTGTGGAGGTGGCGCAGGTCTAGGAGGCGGTGGCAGCGATTTTCTCCCAGGGATATTTTGTCTAGGTGCCAATGGCGGAGGTGGAGAATTTGATGATCCCGTGTTGTTGTTGTTGTTGTTGTTGAATCTCTCTGAAGGACACTGTGGTTGTGGTTTTGAAGGATCCACGTACTTTGGTGGCAAGGCATAATAATTCCTTTGCGTCGATTCCCCATGACGATGATGATGATTAGGCACGTACTTTGGTGGTTCGTGATACTTTTGAGGATTGCCCTCTGATGAATAGTGCTTTGAATTGGCCTCATATCCTGTTTTCACAGGACTACTCATTGAGAATGAATTACCATTCTCCTGATTTTTGTTGGTTTTACTCGTTTCGACAATTGGCAAATAATTAGGTCGCATTGGTTGTTGTTGTTGTTGTATTTTGTCACCATTTTTTGTGATAATTTGTGTCATTCTTTCGGATTCTTGACGTACTATTCTTTCGTTATACCTTTGGGTTATAAGATCCGGAAGTTGTGCAGGTGGTCTTGATGTTTTTTCCTCGACTTTTTTTTTTAACTTTGAATATCTTAAACTTGATCTTGTTTTATGATTTGTGAATCCATTTTCGTGTGATTCATCATTTTTATCTTGTTTTTTGCTTCTAGTGTCTTGGGGGGATTTAGATTTGGATTTTCGACGTTCGATTTTGTTTTTTTGATTATTTTCGTCTTCTTTGCGATTATTTGAATCGGAATCGTCGCTTAGTTCGGGCGGTGGTGGTGGTAGGGGATCATCGCAAATGACTTCGTTTTCAGTAATTGTTGGCGGTGACGGTGGTGGTAAATCGGGACTCGGTAGGCGTTCATTGTAAACATTTCTTAAATGAGGTTTTTTCGGTGGTCGTTCAGGTACCCAGTCGTCGATTGAAATTGCAGGACCGACAATTAATGGACCGAGGAGATTCGTTGAGAGACTGCCACAGCTATTACTGTGTTGATGTTTTGGAGTTGGTGTATCGTTTATAGTTTGAGAATTGATTTTCTCTCGCCAATTGCCACTGGCGTAATCGGACGCGGAACTTGCGCGTCTTGATGAAGGGGGCCTTGGTCTAGGCGGTGGTTGAGGTGGTGGAACAGTGAGTGATTCCTGAGTGAGTTGTGGTTCGGAACGCCAAGAGGATGATGTTTGATGATGCCTTTCGTAAAAGGATAATAGTGCTTTTTTCTGAATTGCTTTAAGCGTTGGATCAGAGACACGATGACGTTTCTCGGGATCCAAATACGTGTAACGCATTTGTTGTTGATGTTGTTGCTTCTCCAATTCACTGATTCGTTCGGCGACCGACAATTGTTGTTGTGGTGATGTTGGTGTGATTCTGTAATGAAAAAAAGTAGATTATTGAAAGGGAAATAATTATTTAAAATTGGAAATTATCGGGATTCTCTATCGAATTTCTATTGGTAAATGTCGCACCTAATTTTCATGTGGGGAATCATTGCTACTACTTTTGCGGGTTATCGAGCGGTTAAGTTGTGTAGAAAGCAGTGCAGTTAAATCACGCCCCGAGATAAGTATCTCGTATGGAGGAAATATTATCTCTATTATATTAATAGCAGTTTCTCAGGTACTTAAACGAGCGTTCCGTACATTCCAAGTGTTTCTTGGTTCGTAGGTCAATACTATAAATTAAGTCATTTTGCTCGGAGAGAAAGGACTAATTTAGAGTTAAAATAAAAAGTAAATTACCTCGAAGTTGGTGACATATCAGTGGTATTTACGGGGTATAATTTCCTTTGAGTTCGTTCACGATCGAGATAGAGGACACTTTCGGAATGATGTCTTTGAGGTGTTTGAACTCGTGCGCTGTGTGCTATTAATTGTTTACTGCCCTGTACTCCATTAACGAGGCTCACATCCGACATGGAGCCATGAAGGGGATTCCAATCCTGACTACTTTGCATTGATCCTTGAGATCTAGAGACTTGATAGGCTTGAAATTTTTCCGATTGATCCCATTGTAGACTTTTCGATCTTTCAACACGACAATCGTCATCAATATTTGATTCTTGCCATTTACCCTCGTGATTTGAATTTGTTTGACAAACATCAAGACTTGATAGACAATGACCAATGACGGGTGGTAAGCTTGTTCTGCCCGTTTGTTTATTACGATCGTTCATCCATTTTTCGTTGTGCCTCATTTTTGTTGGTGTTACAACATCAATAGTGCTGACATCGCTTATTGAACCCTGCCATTTTTCATGAACGTGATTTGATTGTTGACTGGGTATTCCACCGTTTACGCTACTTACATCCGACATGGAACCATGATGCCATCTGTCGGAATTCACTTGTCGCGATGGCATCCCACTGGAAACACTTACATCCGACATGGACCCATGCCATTTAAGAGTCTCACTGCTGGAAGCACTTCCACTTGAGGTTGTTACAACACTGTCTCTTCCTTCTCGCGAGCCTTCTTCCCAATTTGGTGTTGGACGTTGAGCCACTGCCTCGCTGTCCCTTCGTAATCTAAAATTCAATTCATCAGTTTCCGGAATATTTAATTATAATTTTAATTAATTGTCAATAAATTACCTATCGAGAAATGGTGTATTGGTCGTGGAATCGACACTCGAAACATAACTGTGGTAACCTTCGGATTGTGCGTAGCTGGCTTGTTGAGAATGTTGTACTCGTGTGTATTCCTCTAAACCTGCTTGCGTCAAGGTTGTTTCACGGTAAATATCCACCTGAACAAAAAAAAAACAAAATCAATATTTGCGAATATTTGTTTTGATGATTTGAAATCTTGGAATGTGAAAATTATAAATAGAGGGAGAGAGAGAGAAAAAAAACTTCAAGTGTGAAGTGTACCTGAGGCGTTTGAGGATCTTGATAGCTTCTGACATAGGCTTCTAAATCAGCGTGACTGAGAGTTTGTGATGGTGCTTGCTCTCTTTCAGGCGGCGATGGGACAACATATTCAGAATCGCCCAAGGGTTTGCCTTCTCGATCAACACGAGGCCACAATCTTGGCTCATCATCCGAATTATTACTTCTGTTCCTCGATTCAAATGTTTCAGCTGGAATTTTCTCGCAACGTTCCATCACAGTTTTCAGCTGTAAATTATAAATAAAGATAAAAAATCTTTTTTTTTTCAAAATTCATATGAAAGTGATAATACTGAAGGTCAAGATCAAGAATGTGAAACCTGATGGAAATTATTCTGTGACTGTCAGGAAAAAAAAATTGCTGATAGAATCTGTCTTTTAGAAGAAAAATATTTTCCAAAGAGAACGATGGATGACAGCGTGGGATTGAAGATTAATTACACGATGATTTCAGGGTGCAGTGTAAGGTTTTGACCTCCGTTTATTATTTGTTTGTATTAATTATTTTTATCAAAACAATGACATAATTCTTCAACCAAAGAAGAAAGTTAGAGATCTAAATTTAAAGACCGTAATTATTAACAAAAACAATATTTACATGAGTAATTATTACATAACAATTTTTAATTTTTTTCGATGTTACTTTTTTATTTGAACTTGAAATTATTTTGTAATCTGTTAGTTTTTAAGAAACTGTTTCGAATGAATGTATTTTATAAGTATAATAAGCATTCATTACCTATTTAAACAAGATGAAGTGAAGTTAAATAAGATGAATCACTGAAAGTGGGTTTCAACTTGAATCCACAAGTGAAGTAAGAAGTATCCAATTAGAGGAAAATAAATTCCAGAGATTTACATATTTGCAAATGCAAGGTAGGCGCAGACGATCAGTAAAAGGGGGGTATATCTTCTCTTCTTCGTCGTCCTTTTTCTTCTTCGAATAAGAAGCAAACAAACGATTTTTCGAGTTCGACGACTCGTCGACCTCGGGGGAATTTTCGATTCACGTGGGTGAAAATAAAAAAAGAAATCTCGCGGGGAGAAATACAATTGTTATATTCGAATTAGAAAAAAAAAAAAATAATTTCATTAAACCACCTACGTGTGTTATTTATCAAGAAGAGTATTGACTTTGATACACTCGTGAGAGGCGTTCATTAATTGCAAATCTTTCTCTCTCTCCCACGCTGACATTGATTCTCTATATATATTATTATTGACCTCATACTTCCGTGTTTAAATCGAACTTGAAAAAGAATTTTTATTTTCCAAACCTGTTGCGTGAATGTGGGATTTGGCCTTTTGTTATGGGGTCTTGTATATTGTGCTGGCTTTTCCTTAGGGTAATTTGTGTGATCGGTCCACGATTTCGAACGATGTGATCCAGTGTGAGAATTGGAAATTTCTTCTTCGGTATGTCGTTCTGGTGCACTTGGCCAGGATGGATATTTTTCGTGTCCTGGACCATAGCAGACACTTTTGAGGCTCGATGCATCTCTAACCGGTGGCGTTGGCGGTGGCGAAGATTCGTCCCTCTCGTTGATAGGGAGACTAAAGCTGTCGAATCCGATGCTTTCGCTGTATCTGAAATTGAAATTTTATTTATTTAGAAAAAAGAAAATATTTCAAAAAAAATATATTTTTTCAAAAAAAAAATATTTTTTCAAAAATGGCTCTAATTATCGAATGCTGTATGAATAAATAAAAAATTTATATATGCCGATTGTTATTACCCGCTGTCGTTTTTATAGCCTGGAGTATTCTTCTTGTAGCCATCGTTGTAACCGGTATTCGAGGCCTTCTTGAGATTCTCGTTATCGATGTCGTTTTCCGCGGACCTTCTTGAATTGTCGTTTCTTCGCCGATAGTATTCGCTAGTAGGGATCGGACGAGACGTTGTCTTGAGGTTGTAGCCCTCTTGAGGATACGTTGTGGTGCCCTTGTAATTGGCAACCTCGGACACGTGGCCATGGTTCGTATATTTGAATGAGCCTGACGGTGGTCCCGGGGCCTCATCTTGACCGCGATAACCTGACGGTGACGGTTGCAGCTCCGTCATCGTGTAACAAACGTCCCCCCCATCCGTGATGCACCTGAAAAAACAATAAAATTTTTATTTTTTATTTTATTACTCTCCAAAAATTATTTTTAATAAAAATAATTTAATTTTTTTTCAGCTCTCGTTTCGTGTAAAAAAAAAAAAATAATACTATTTCAAATATTTATTTTCTTGTAGGAATTTTTTAAATAAAAATTCGCCTAAAATACTCATTGAATCCAATTACTTTTTACCGTACGAAAACAGTTTGTCCAGGTCCTTATAAATCTCATGACCCGCATTTGCATTTAAAATTGGTCAATGTTCCAAACCAAGAATCATGAATCTCTCTTCGAGTAAATTATTTAAGAAAATAAATCTCTTAATGCAAAATATCAACAAAAATAATTAACAATCTAAGTTTTTTTCGACAATTTATCACTTTTGCAAAAAAAAGAAATTTGTTCTCTAGGAGAAGAAAGTTTGAAAAAAAAATTACCTCGTCCCAAATAGAATTGAGCACAAATAATAATAATTGCCCTAAAAATCATTTGGAAGTTGTTTTCATTTCAATTTTATTCGTGATGAGTCAGAAAATGGAGTGAAGAGGAAGTAGCTGTTTTAAAACGTGATTGATTCTGATCTACAGCCTCCTGCGGTTCCATGAAGTTCGCAAAATGTTACTAAACGAAAGCAGAAATAAGAAGAAGAAGAAGAAGAAGAAGAAGAGTAATTGCAAACCTAACAGCGAACATATTCTCAATATTTAGGTCAACCTGTTGATGTTAAATGCCAACAAGATTCTCAAACACTTAACACGTTTAAAGATAAAAAAAAATAATAATAATTGACAAAAAAAAAAAAAAAAAATTTCTCTCCTGAAAAAAACTATTTTTAATTTCATAATCTTTCGACTTTGCATTTTACCAAACTCGATTATATTATCACTGAAGAGTGAAAGTTTTTTTTTTTTTTTTTTTTAATTTCCCAAGAGGAAATTAATATCTAATATTTTTTTTAATATTTTAATAATAATTTTTAATATTTTTTTTTATTTTTTTTATTATAATTTAATTTTTCTATTTTAAGTATAAAAATAAATTTTTTTTCAAAAAAACCCTGAGAAAGAGATGTATAATAATTTTCCGCCGACTATCTTCGAGTCCTTAATTAGGTTTCGTTTCGCTTCCTGCTTATTTTATCTGGAACAAAATTTTATTTCCAGTTTTTACGTGCGTTATTTCTGCAAATAGGAATGCAGGAGTTTCTCGTAAATTTTTGTCAAATCTCGCGCGAAAGGAAGTGAGTAAAGCACACGCGATGCTCATTTGCGAATAAGTAAATTTTTTTTTTGAAAAAAAATATGTGTGTATAACTTCCGTGTTTAGCCAGAAAGTAAATATATATATATATATATATATGAAGAAAGAGAGAGAGAGAAAATCGACAAATATCGGTTTTCTTTTCTTGAGCATCTCACACGCGTGATTAAGACTTTAAAGTTTCTATATATATACAGTTAAACACGATAATGTTGTTACCTCCGTGAAGCTATGGACCATACTCAACAAGCCAAGCTATACATAAAACTGAAAGACGATTATTTCTTTCCTCTGCAATCTTTATATATATATATATATATATAAGAAATTTCATCTCAAGGTCTCTACATCATCCCCTTTTTATCACCCACTCCCCCTTCTTTAATTGCTTTCGTATATATATGCAGAATTATTTTATCTCATATAATAATTTCCCACAAATTCATATACTCTCTTTATCTTTCACTTTACCTTTTTTTTCAAGTCGAATTCAAAATTGAATTATTGAAATTAAAATTTTTTTCTACTCAAAAGGAAATACATATAAGAAATTTTTATATAAGTCTGAAAAAAATTTTAAATTCAAATAATTATTTTTTGAAACCAAATAATTTTTATTTGAGTCAATTAAATTTTATTTCTTTCAAATATAGAACTTATTGATTTAAATGCAGTTTATTTTGTTTAAAAAATTTTTAATTATTTGGTTTTAGAAAATAATTTTTTTCGATAATTTTTTTTTTTTTTTTTATTAAAAAAAAAATCCAAGATTCATTGCTACAAAATTTTCTATCTCTTTCTGTGAGTTATTCTGCGCAACAACCTTTCTAACTTGAACAGTTCCTCTATCGATAAGAATCGTCGTTCTATCGCACATAAACATGTAAGTAATTGTCCCTCAACGGGGACAAACGTCTCACATGGAGAAAATGCGATACCATTATTCTTTATAGAAAAGATGGCTTCTGTATTCATTTTTCTTTTTTTTTTTTTTGCATAATGCTCTCCTTTGGCTTTCCCATATTTACTGGGGAAAATAAATAAGAAATAATAAGAAAATAAAAAGAGTAGAGAAAAAATATTCAAGAGAGAAAATTATTATTACAATTGTTAAAAAAAAAAATACAGTCAAACCTTGTTAACTTAGACAACAGTCAGCTGTCTCACTTAGCCAGGTTTGATTGCAGTTTTGATTGTAATTTTAGTAGAAATTTAGAAATATTTACGGAGGCGGAAATATATTAAAGACTTGGGAAAATAAAAAGAGTAGAGAAAAAGTTTACAAGAGAAAAAATTATTATTCCAATTGTTAAAAAAAAAATACAGTCAAACCTTGTTAAGTTAGACAACTGTCAGCTGTCTCACTTAGCCAGGTTTGACTGTAGTTTTGATTTTAATTTTAGTAGAAATTTAGAAATATCCAAAAATATATAGAGAACACTAGAACTTGATTGACAGAGACTATTAAAAAAAAATGCCTGTACCACTTAGAGAGGTTTGACTGTATTTTGATTTTCGCAGAAATTTAGATATATAAGGAAATATTTTATATTAAAAATATAATATAATAATATAATATATAGTCAAAACCTTGTTAACTTGAACAACAGTCAGCTGTCTCACTTAGCCAGGTTTGATTGCAGTTTTGATTGTAATTTTAGTAGAAATTTAGAAATATTTACGGAGGCAGAAATATATTAAAAACTTGGGAAAATAAAAAAAGTAGAGAAAAAGTATTCAAGAGAGAAAATTATTATTCCAATTGTTAAAAAAATAATACAGTCAAACCTTGTTAAGTTAGACAACAGTCAGCTGTCTCACTTAGCCAGGTTTGACTGTAGTTTTGATTTTAATTTTAGTAGAAATTTAGAAATATCCAAAAATATATAGAGAACACTCGAACTTGATTGATGGAGACTATAAAAAAAAAATGCCTGTACCACTTAGAGAGGTTTGACTGTATTTTGATTTTTGCAGAAATTTAGAAATATAAGGAAATATTTTATATTTCTAGCCGTGAAGCTAGATAGGACCTTAAAAAAAATCTCTGTCCCAGTTAGCCAGTTTTGACTGCAAAAACATTTATTCAATTCTAAGGATATTTTCCATTATTTTTGCTTAAAAAAAAATTGTATGCCAAAGGGCAAAACAGGAACACGAATATATTTATTTTTCGAGCGAAAGGTGAGAAACAAACCGTTATTATACATATTATCCCGCGGTTTTCCCGAAGAGAAGTTTCAAAGATTCACTTCTTCAAAAAGTCCCCGTGCTAATGGTTCGAGTTGTAAATCAGGCTTAATACACGACGCGTAACCGGTAAACTGGCTGCGAAGTTATGGTTTCGAGAGGTTACAAGTAACATGGCCTTCTTCCTACTGAAAAGAAAATCCCAATCCCTCGCGCGCGCTCATTGCGAAACAAAATTATTTTCTCGAAAACAACTCTCAAGTGATTTATTCACTCTTTTTTTTTTAAACGATAATTTCTTTTTTTTTTTTTTTGTTTATTGTGATATTTCCTTTTATTTATGATAATTTTCGAAAAGAAATTCATATAAACAAATTTATCAAATTCAAAATATAAATTTTTTTTTTTTTTGTATTATTCAATTCAAGTATTATACAATGAAAATGTAAAATGAAGATGAATTACAATCAATGTATATATATGTATAACTTATAGTTATCTAATAAAGAAAGTTGAAAGATAAATCATAATCTTCATGGGAATCAATCATCGTTTGGTAACACGTTATATGGGAGTCTAGACTGTTTAATGGTTTTAAATGGACTCGCATTGTATTTATGGGGAAATTTTTTTTTTTTCTACTTTTGCTACCGTATGCGTTTATTCTTTTGACAAAAGAGATGCGAGGCCTACGCATGATAAAATACAGTAATGTCGCCAACGCGAAAAATGATCATAAAATATTTTATCTTGGCAAAAATTGTTTCCTATTTCCATATTATACAACCCACTGATCATATTTTGCTTCCGTTAACCCGCCTTTTTCAATATTTCGTTTCAACTTCCTTCTTCTTATTTCGTTATTTTTTTTCTTTATTTTTTGAATATAAATATTTTTTATATTATTATTTTTTATATTGTAAAATTAAATTTAAAAAATTAAGTTAAAAAATAAACGGTAAATGTAATATATGAAAAAAAGTAAAAAAAATTGATAAAAACAAGTTATGTAAATTGAAGAAAGGGATGAAATGACTAATTTTTTGGGAGGAAAAAAAAGAGATTAATTGAATGACTTATGAATTAAAAAAAAGGGAATAATAATGAGCTTGTGTGTGTAATTTAAAAAAAAAAAATGTTTCTGGTTATATAGAAAATTTTCAGTTTAAAATTCTTGGTTAGCGCGAAATTAATGATCGAGATCAAGAGTCGATCTTCTTTCATCGTCTGCGCGCTTAGAGGATCGTTCGGCGCATCAATTACATGCGCGCACGGTTATATTCACAGTCAACGAACTCGGTGCGCATTAATTACGTGATGTAATCTCCCACTCCCCATCTTTTTCTCTCTTTCTCTCTCACACATACAATATATATTCGAACAAGAAATCGTTCCTCTTCTCTTACTATATATGCAAATCATATCTGAATTTTTTTTTAATCACTCCCGCAAATAACAATTCCCTCGAGGTAACACATTTTATTTTCCCGAAGAAAAGTGGCCAATATACATTTGTTAATTTAATAAATTAATTATATAATTA